CAACAGCTGTATTTTCATAACGAACCAACGTTCAGAGCCGAGACACTTTTCATTTTATGGAGAAATGTCTAATCTACTCAATTATCTAGTTGTAATTTTAGATTATTTTCTAACTTTATTGCCACAGTTCTTTGAAAAAGAGCGAGAAAAGGAGACCGTTAGCTGGACAAGTCGTCTAACGTACGTTAGCAAACATTGCAAAACTTTTATCCAGAAAAAAAAATTTTGATTCGTTTGAAAGCGTTTGATTCTGTTAAATTTACAAATATAACGCGTGACAACGTTTCTTCACAGAAGGCACGGGTTAGACTTCGTTAAATATGGCCCTAAGAGATTCGTTTCATGTGCACACTTTCTTAACGGATGCAGATGAATTTCAGATGGAAGAGTTGCTCTGAACAAGTTTAAAAACAGTGTGAATATCTGACACATTCTAACCTTTTAACAATAATGTAAGGTGCCGCTAATTCAAAAATCAAGTGGAAAAGCTTTTGAATTCTCAAACACATATTCTGATTCATCCGACGCTGCTGATCCCGAATCTGATCTTATTTTTTCGATGTGACCGAGTTTTCATGCAGAAAACCTCAAAATATTGTGAAGGCGTCAAAAACCTCGGAAGACCCATTTTTCAGAAAAATCCAGATTATCTCCTGATCTTTTCATTTTTCGATCTCGCCGATGCGATTTTCGGATTCAGCATCACGAAGCACATCTAGGCACTTGTCATTCGATGACTTTTCTTCAAGACTTAAACTTCGGCAGCTGATCAAACACTAATCGCTCGAACCTTGAGGTTCTCATCGCGCAATGCTATCTAGTTTTTTGCCATGAGAGCTAGAGACTTCTTTCATGCGCCAGAAGATTCGCCTAGCCCTGCTCCGCAAAAGTACGCTTCGTTTTTTTCGAAACGTTTTTCCTTTTAGGAGAAATTAGGAAGAAACTGAAAAAGTGCGAGTTTTTCGAAAAATCCTTCAGATGATGAGCCCATAACTCAGTGATATTTCCCTAGAGAACTGCTATTATGGTTTTCTAGGTAAAAAGCAATGAATACGCCAGAAATGTGTTTGAGGGATTTGGAGTTTTCCAAGTAGGTTTTGCAAAAAACCACAACTCTGAGAAACCTGATTTTTGAATTAGCGGCGCCTTACTCAACTTCATCATAATTAAGGCTATGATGCTTCACATATTCTAAAAGCTAACGAGTACGAAAGTCTTAATGGTTCATCCAGTTATCCGTTATAACAAGTTTTACATGTTGAACTATCAAATTAATCTGTTCGAACACGGTTCGACATAAAGAACAAATTTACATTTCTGAACAAAAACTTGTTTTGGTTTGATATTTTTCGCTTGTTCCTTTCTACAAGTATTTCATAGAATACACCTTTGATTTCAATGACGTTCTGCTTCCAAAAGCAACAAAAATTTCTTTTTCATCTTCTAAGAATGAGTGTAGTAGGCGGCAGTTGGGCGAGCCGGGCTTTTAATTTCGTACCACTTTGTCCACTATGGTTTGAATCATTGTCTTAATATAAAAGAAATCATCTTTTCAGGCTAAATCGTGCTAGAGAAAAGTGTATTTCAAGCTTCTCTCTCAACGTGAAAACTAGAACACCTGGAAGCGATGCCTCAAAATTGTGCCGTTGAGTCAGATCCTTTAAAAATACAAATTCTTGAACAGGATATGATGCTCTTCTGAATATTTTAGCTCTCGCAGTTTACAGGTGGTACAATGCCAACAATACAATTCCTCGGCCGCATTCTAGAAAATTTTAGCAGCGTAACTAAAGTGACCTTCTACACTAATTATTCGAAACGAAAACAGCTTTTTCAAGAACCTCATAATTTTGCCTATTAGACTGTTCACTGTTTTTATTTATTTGTTTCATAACTCGAAAAGCGTGTTCGAAATTCTATTATTTATTTGTTAGTTTTGTCTACGATAAGAAAATAAAATATGTATTAATCAACTATCCTAGAAAGTTAGAGAGCAGTGTTCAATATAAACAGTTAGTACAGTTCTCCGTAACAAGGAGTTCTTGTTGCTACTATTCATCATATATTGTTTCTTCCATATGCAATCGACTGTGAATATGATGCTTTCTCGTCGCCATTCTGATTAAACAGAAGTGTTTCAATTGACTTACCCACACCTAGACAACAGCAGCAGAGAGATAAACGAATAAATAGACCAACTTCACTCACATACCCCATGAAGCCAGATCATTATTCACAAGCACCTGGTTTGACAATGAAGAACCGACACGATTATATGATGCTGATTCAGCAGCACCAGCACCTAGCTTTGAATAGATTCTTAATTCTCTACCTTGTTGAAGTTGAACCCCCTTGGGTATTGTATATCGAAGTTCCGGCTCTGAATCAATACGTCGTTTCAGCACCCATCTCGAAATATCAATATCTTTACTAGTCGAATGATTCACCAAACTAATGTATGCGCCATTGGGAGCACATTCTTCTACAAGAAAAGAAATTAATAACATTCTTTCTCTCTCTTTTTTAACTCCACACTCACTAATGCCAATTGCTCCATGGTTCTGGTTTTTTACAATGAATTTTCCCGTCATTTCACTTCCAACTGACTGATAAATAGGGGCAACCATCACCTGCTCGTGTATTTCACTACTATCCAATAGATGACGGTATACAATAATTTCAGCTTCTAAATTGATTTTACTAGAAGAATTACACAAGAAGAAAATTAGTTCTCATTTCTCAATAGTAGCGAACTTTTCTAACCTTCGTCGCATTTCATCGATATCATAGGCCACTGCCATTATACTTTCCTGCACACGCTGCAGGTCTTTCGACTGTGCTTCAAGTCGCTCTTCATTTTGAAGCTGAATTGATCTGAAGTCCGATTCAAATTTAGCTATCAGAAACCAAATACATTTTTTTAAAGAAGAGCAAAGAGATACGGGACTTCACTTACCGTACTTAGCTTCGAGTTGGATTCGAATTTCTTTTTCATAGGAAAAAGTCTTCTGAACTTCTTCATATTCCACCTGCAGCGTCTGTTGACTTATTACTAGTTCTTCGATTTCAATTTGTTGATAGTGCAATGCCTGTTCAACGTCTGTTTGCACTTCATTTATTTTCGTTTCATAGTACGTGGTCATTTCACGATGAATTGTTGCATACAACAATTCAAAATCACGACGTATTTTTTTCACAGCTTTATCCAATTCCAACGTCAGAAATTGATCCACATCAACCGATCGAACTGATTCGAATTCCCTAAAAGGAAGAAAGTGTTTCTCGATCAAAGAAAACGAACAAGTTAACTACACTCACCGCACTGAATACGAACGTAAATTCTTATAAAACACAATGTGACTCTTCAATGTTTGCAGACTCAGATCCCATCTCTTTCGTTGTTTCTTCATGCTGCACCAATCATGTATCAGTCTCAGATACTGTTTGAATATATCTTCACGTGTTGCACTGAGACTCTCAACTTCCCGTCCCAATTCTGCATAGGATGTACGTAGAGTGATGAGGACAGACCCCAACTGCTTTAATTCCTGTTCCAGTTTCAAACGTCCATCGTCTTTCCACTGTTGTTCAACATCAATCAGTTGCTGATATATTCCAATCTGCATTTGGAACACTTCGAAATCGAATTCGTAGTCAACTTTTGCATAGCTAATCGTCGTGAGATCAGACTGCAGATGAACGTAACGTTCAGTCGATTGTGCGTCAATATTACTGATACCGGACGGTTGTCGTCGAAAATTTGCAAGTTGCGCAATGTATTTTGAATTCTGTGCTTCCAACTGTTGAGCACGATCAACGAACAGACGAAGACGTTGATTCAAGTCAGCTAGTGCATGTTTCTCATGCTGATGCTGTGCATGGAGATCAGTTTGAACCTGCTGGATATTGATGACCGCTGACGATGTATAATAGACATTAGAATCAGAGTGTGCGTCACGACGATGGTATGTAACAATTGAATTATTATTCTTGTTGTCACCCTCGTTATTGATGGTGCGTAAATCGAAGGACATTTTTATTACTTAAACTTGTTGATCAGGTTACGAATGTGGTTTATATACCTGTTTTGCTTGGTTACTTTCTTCTTACTAGAATGAAGGACACAATGAATATTCAATTTCATTTTTGTTATTTTTTTTGATTTTCTGTGCTTAAAGGTAGAGAAGAAATCAAGCAATTATGCATTTGAATTTCAAATATGTTTCTTTCCTTCTTTCTCACCACAAAGTCAGCTCTTTTAACTGAATTTACTGTACGAATATTGATGTATTATATATACTATCTACAAGTATTTGCTATTCTGCTCACAGTTAATCCTACGAAGGAACAAAAAGAACCTTGGAAATTTAAATATGTATTTGCATCCATCTATCACATTCCAGAACCTGCAGATAAATAGGAACTTTTGTTGGCAACACCCTATGTTTTCACCTTGGACTTAGTGTCGAAAATGTTTTTCAGAAACATCTACCACAATACAATATTTTGTGAAACTCCTTCAGTAACTCCAAAGCAGAAGGAGTTGAACTTTTATACTCAAAAAGCTAAACGTTTGATCTATTTTTTAACCTCCTCTCTACCCGGGTGTATTCATCTGAACCTGGCGGTGTATTCCTCTCAATAGAGCAGTGTGTTCATCTTAATAGAGTGATGTATCCCTCTTGACATGGTAGTGTATTCATCTTAAAAGACAGCTGCAATTTTTCATCGCTCCTTAATGTTAATGCAGACTATTCTCAATATCATCTGATTCAGTTGAGCTAACGTCAAAATGTTCCATGACTGTACTTAGCACTGACGTCGGTCAATGTTACAGCAGCATGGCACATTTCGACTCATATAGTAATCACGCCGTTGTCACTTGTTGTGTCGTCAACAAGAGACTAATTGAAGTTATACCAAAAATGAGATATCGCTGACGGGAAGCGAACCCGTATTTTCCGATATATGGTGGGCTGCCCTACCGTTGAGACCGGTCTATTCCAACTACACGCTAGTTCCATATTCTTGTCTGTTTTACTGCCACAGCTCTAACTCAGACAATCTCTCTCTCAGGTCCAATATCATTCTTTTTCTTTGTGGTTATTTTTGTCTCTGTCTTTTTCCTTTTCTCTCTTCTTCGCGATAGTGTTCGATTTCATCCTTCCCTCCAACATTACTACTTCAGCGTTGTCATCGCAGTCTTCTCATCAACAGTTTTTTCTTTTTCTTTGAACATTTTACATTCTCGTCTCAACTTCCTGTATAAGTCTGTGTTTCCTTCTCTTTTAATCTCCTCCTCGTTCTCCTTTTCTTCTCTCAGTTCCATTCATGCATGCAGTCTTTGTCTCTTGCATAGATGTAACCGGTTAAAACTTTCTTGACCGGGCCGATAACCGATCTAAAACTTTCTGACCGGCTGGTCAGACTGCTGTATATTTTGTTGCAGTCAGTCGAAACCTGTTTTGACACCAACTCCAAGTCTGTATCATTAGAATTGCAAAAGACATCTGGGATGCATGAACACCTACCTTTTGATACATAAACCCAATATTTCGAATTCAAATTTTTACTGACAACTGTTTAAAGTCAGATACACATTCAGTAACAATTAATTACTGTGTCACTCCAGCCAGTATTATTGCTACTGCTTTATTTTTCTACTGAAAAACAAAAGACTAGAAATAAATTCTTCTATCTCTTCATCATCGGGATTCATCGAGTATAATTAAACTAAAGTAAAGAAGAAGAAGACAAAGAGCAAAAGAAAAGAAAAAAAAAGAAAGAACAGAAAATGGTAGCAGCAGGACAACATTACGATCAATTGATTGACGATAACGTTAAAAAGATGGTTGAGTTAGAACAGTTAGAATGGATCCGTAATGTACATGGTGGTGGAAGTACGCTAGTGTTTTTTTAGTTGAAAACCCGGCGGTGCCGGTAGCTGATCTTGAAGAGCGTCGTATCTTGCAATACTCTTCGCACAAAAGACTGATTTTTTGGTCACCGGTGCGCTTTCCAACCCCAAACAACCAACCACTATCGGACCGGTTGCCTTTTGTAAGACCGACGTCGTATATCGATTCATTTCAGTTTGTACCAGAGCTGATCATCTGCATTTTAAACTGCCTGCAAGCTGTAGGTTGCAGTTTGCAGTTTGCAGGTGAATGAAAACCTTTTCCACTGACGGCCAGCAGATAAAGAAGAATTTTTTCCTGCCTACACTCTCTGCAGGGTAGAAGATTTTACCTACATTAACTGCATGGGAAGACGTTTTTGTGTGGAGAACAAAAACAGAGAGGAATACCGATCACACTAAAGGTCAGAATGATGCTTTAACGAAAAGAAACTAACTGACAATTTTTTTGTATGTTTACTACTATCCATTTCAAAAAAGAAGGCCAGTCACTGTATGTCTAATAACTTTGCACTGGAAGATGCTGGACCTTGCGTGGACATTTTGTAAGAGTTTTCCGATCACTAAAATGTTTTCGGATTTTGAATTTCTAGACGTCGAAAAGTTCTACAAGTCTAGACTAGTCCCAGCTCGCTATCTCTCGTGCTTCAGGAGTTATAAAGGTTTTCCACAGATATGCCTATCTCTGTCCGGACGCGGTGGAGAACCTGGAAAAGTGTTGAAACATAGGTAATCGAGTATGCTGATTATCGTGGCAATGTTTGTTGTGGGTTAAAATCAAATTCGAGGTCGGTAGGAGCTTATTTCCCAAAAAGCGAGTTTTTGCTTATAGACCATAGAACTTCAAATTGACGTGATTCAGTCATTTTACATTCAAACCGGCTCGAATTTTCAGAAAATACTCTAACCACGTTATTGAAACGAATTGAATCGTAGAAAGGTACAAACTTCGAGTTTTACGTGTTGAGGTTCTCTAGGAAGCTTTCAGAAAACCTCGGGGTTCAAAGCTTTATTAATTAAACTTTCTACGATTCAATCCGTTGTTAGAGTATTTTCTGAAAATTCGAGCCGGTTTGAATGTAAAATGACTGAATCACGTCAATTTGAAGTTCTATGGTCTATAAGCAAAAACTCGCTTTTTGGGAAATAAGCTCCTACCGACCTCGACTTTCATTTTAACCCACAACAAATATTGCCACGATAATCAGCATACTCGATTACCTATGTTTCAACACTTTTCCAGGTTCTCCACCGCGTCCGGACAGAGATAGGCATGTCTGTGGAAAACCTTTATAACTCCTGAAGCACGAGAGATAGCGAGCTGGGACTAGTTTAGACTTGTAGAACTTTTCGACGTCTAGGAATTCAAAATCCGAAAACATTTTAGTGATCGAAAAACTCTTACAAAATGTCCACGCAAGGTACACCACCTGAAAGTACTCGAAAAAACTTTTTCTCTTATTTTCTTGTTGCCCCAAGATTTTAGCTTCAGATAACGAAAACCGCAGGTCTCCAGCATCTTCCAGTGCAAAGTTATTAGACATACAGTGACTGGCCTTCTTTTTTGAAATGGATAGTAACGGGTGGGCCATAAAGAATGGACCTCTCAGTATTTTGCTTATAACTTGGTTTGGATTTGTTTCCGAGACTCGATGTCTTTTTTAAAAGATGCGCCTAGAAATTCTCTACAAGATCATACCTAAACTATAATTTCAGAACTTCAATCAAGAAAACTAAGCCAATTGGATAAAAGTCGAAAAAAATGTAAACTTCCTAACCTCAACATTTTATTCGACTTGAACTTTTTCTTCTGCTACTATTTCCGCTAAAAAGTGTAGCAAAAGTGAGAACTCAGTTTATGTTTGGTACTTTCAAATGTGCTCTTTCTCGTGGTCTGTAAAAGAACTTTTTTAGAGCGGATGGTGTGCTGCAGAACGAGGAAAAAAAAATACATCAAAAGTTGACAATTTCCCTGTTTCCAACAATGTGCTCAATCAAGAGACGAAAAGATGATTGACGTTTGATTTGATAGAGACGTGCAATCATTTCTGATCAAAACAAAGCAAACCCAACCGAAAAAGGTTCTATTTTGATGGAGTTATGGGCTTTTACTGAAAGCACTAGTATACCAAAAATTTTAAACATTAATGAAAAAATGCATGACAACCGACAGAAAAACTATTATTTCGCTGTGACTTTTGATGTGAAAAAATTTGAAGTGTAGCTGAAAGATAGAGCGAAGTCAGGGCTACAAAATGGCTAATTCAGTTTTTCTTACTTCCAAAACATTAACACAAGAAATCATTTTTAAGTTTAAGAAGTTTACTTTTTCTTCGACTTTCATCCAATTGACTTAGTTTTCTTGATTGAAGTTCTGAAATTATAGTTTAGATATGATCTTGTAGAGAATTTCTAGGCGCATCTTTTAAAAAAGTCATCGAGTCTCGGAAACAATCCAAACCAAGTTATAAGCAAAATACTGAGAGGTCAATTCTTTATGGCCCACCCGTTAGATATTTTAAGATGAAGGAGAGAAAGGTTTTATCCGTGATCGCTTATCATTTGCTATGTCATTTTCCTCCGATATAATGGCCTAGACCGCATCTGTGTAGAATGACTATTCTTATTTCTCTTTCTTAAATGAATAAAGTTTAAATTAAACTAAATAAAACGAAAAATACCGAATAAAGAAAAACAATAAATTTGAGAGCTGTCCAATTATCGTTATCTAGATAATGCGTATACACCGCTGCGTGCGCTTTACGATGCGATAACTTAACTCACAGCATATATTTAGAGTAAAATTTAAACTAATAAGAATTCAAGTAAATACGGCACACAGGATAATACGAACGCGAGGATTAAAGGATTCAGAATTTAAGAAAATAAGAATTTAAGAAAATAAGAATTTAAGAAGATAAGAATTTAAGAAGATAAGAATTTAAGAAGATAAGAATTTAAGGAAATAAGAAAATAAGAATTTAAGAACATAAGAATTTAAGGAAATAAGAAAATAAGAATTTAAGGAAATAAGAATTTAAGGAAATAAGAATTTAAGGAAATAAGAATTTAAGGAAATAAGAATTTAAGAAGATAAGAATTTAAGGAAATAAGAATTTAAGGAAATAAGAAAATAAGAATTTAAGAAAATAAGAATTTAAGGAAATAAGAATTTAAGGAAATAAGAAAATAAGAATTTAAGGAAATAAGAATTTAAGAAGATAAGAATTTAAGAAGATAAGAATTTAAGGAAATAAGAAAATAAGAATTTAAGGAAATAAGAATTTAAGGAAATAAGAATTTAAGAAAATAAGAATTTAAGGAAATAAGAAAATAAGAATTTAAGAAGATAAGAATTTAAGGAAATAAGAATTTAAGGAAATAAGAATTTAAGGACATAAGAATTTAAGAAAATAAGAATTTAAGGAAATAAGAATTTAAGAAGATAAGAATTTAAGGAAATAAGAAGATAAGAATTTAAGAAGATAAGAATTTAAGGAAATAAGAATTTAAGGAAATAAGAAGATAAGAATTTAAGGAAATAAGAATTTAAGAAAATAAGAATTTAAGGACATAAGAATTTAAGAAGATAAGAATTTAAGGAAATAAGAATTTAAGGAAATAAGAATTTAAGAAAATAAGAATTTAAGGAAATAAGAATTTAAGGAAATAAGAAAATAAGAATTTAAGAAGATAAGAATTTAAGGAAATAAGAAAATAAGAATTTAAGGATGTAAGAATTTAAGAAAATAAGAAGGCCTTCAGTTTCATCCGATCGAGCCAAAAATTTTATCTCAGGTGCTCAAGGCACTAATGCGGAGGTGTCTTTTTGGGGTTTTAGTTAAACCTTTCGTTACTGAGATACAGGATTTCTAAAATTGAAAAACTTAGTTTTTGACACGTTTGGCACGCTATTTCTAAAAAGGCTAAATTTGCTTTACATAAGCATTTTGAAAAGACTAGTCATTCACTTACTTTCAGTGAAGCCAAAATTCTTGTAACGATGTTCTGTTACTATTGTATGACGTCCGCTTAGATTCACACTAGAGAGATGTTTCTTAAAGGTATCAGAATGTCAGCGATAAATTCTACTTATTCTAGGCACACTTTATTTTATCTACGAATTTCGTCGTTTCATACTGTGACTTGTAAGTTATGCGCCTCGAACCAGTCAACTATTTACGCATTTAACCATTTCCTATAATAAATGAAATAAGTTTAACTGCTGAGTTGGCAAAGCCGCAAGTTCTTGTCTCTTTTCTAACAAAAGTTATTCAGAAAACAACTGAGTACGTTGTATTTCGAAACGGATACTAGTGCAGGACACCATCCAGGTCAGCTAACGATTGTGACTCACTCTCATAGCATCTTCCCCCCCCCCCGACACCTCCACTTCGTGTCGAAGGTGAGGTATATGTTTAGAAAGATATGGATTGAATAAACTCTTCGAAAATACGCGGGTATAGAAAACCCAACTGAAATACGTAAATAAAAAATTTAGGGACTATCAGCACCTGACTGTTTGAATACATATAACTAAACATCATAAGAAATCTATATGGTGGCCTGAGCCAATCAGAAAATAACAGAGAATTCGCAACTACACCGTATACATCAAAACGCATTATGATCATCCGTTGCATACCGAAATGAATTCCCGGCGAATGCTAACTCATTCTTTAAAAAATCAAATTCTCGGCGACTGTGTATTTTCCAAGCTATGGTAAGGATCTAAGGATATAGGACACATAAGGATTAACGGAAATATGGGAATCAACGATTAATGGATATCAGTCCAGGCTGAATCTAGAGTTTTAATCTCTCATGCTGCCATATCGCCGCCCGCGTGCAGGAGCTATTAAAAAACTGAGAATAATTCCTAATAACAACTTATCTTATAAATTCAAAGAGTTAGTTAACATGTGTTTTCTTACTATCCCTATTTTCTTATTTCCCCTATTTTCTTAAATTCTTATTTTCTTATTTTCCATATTTTTTAATCTCATTCTTTATTCCCCATATAACAACATGTGCAATAACATATCGTTATCCGCTAGGCGTTGCGTTATCTAGATAATGATACTTGGACATCTATGGAAGAACGAGTGACTATCTCTGAAGATCATCAGCTGCAGGGAAGATATCGGGCTTATCGAAACTGTTTCGGCAGCACCCTATACCGCAAGGTAGCCGCAAGGCGGGGTCTTCTTCTAACTCACTATATGTGTGTTGAAAGAAAGTTGTTTTTCCATTTGTAATATGCTTATAAATAGCTTTATTTACATTTAACTGCGTTTAACAAAAATAGAGCCATATCGAACTAGATTGATAAATAGGAGATTAATCGTAATGGATCATGAATGCTATTGTAAAGCAATGAATTCGACAAGACAAACTTGCCTTTGTACAATACGCATGTTACTGCGAATCTGTCATATGTTCTTTCTAGTTTACAAGCAACCTCAGATTTTAGATCACCACATCAACGGTTATAGATACAAACTAGCAATAAATTCAGACACGTAAGAGTACGTTAAATAGGCCCGTACTCGAGTCTGGAATAATTTTGGTAATCTTGAAGATTGTCAACGATTGGCATAAAGCCTATGTAAGTCTGTCATAGTGAATGTACTTGCATGCAGGTACTTGGTCAAGTACCCTCGCAAGTTTTGTTCAACGTTCTTGAGCTTTTCTGCAAGTAAACCAAGTACTTGAATTACTTTATTGTCTTGTCAAGTCCTTTGCCAAACACTTGCCCAAGTACCTGTGGACGGTTCAACAAGTAAATCAAGCACTTGGTAAGTGCTTTCAGACATTTATCGAGTAGTATTTTTTGAAAATACTTGTCAAGTGCTTTTCAAGTACCCGTGGAAATTTGTAAGTAAACAAGTACCCACTCCCAAGCACATTCACTAGGGTGGTCAGTAATCGTAGGAAGAATCCACAAAAGGGCCAGAAACACATTTGAAAATCTTGATTTACAGCTCTATTTCTGTAGAACTTTCATCCAATCAATTGCGTTTTTCCAATGCAATGAGTTATTGCATGATGCTTGGGTTGGAAAAGCTGAAAAAGCGGAAACGCATTTTTCACTAAACACAACGGATCTCAAAAAAACTTTTTTAGCGCTTTATGGTAATTCCACTTAAGAAACACAAACGACGTACAAAGCGTCATTTAACTCCCAATTTGAACCGATACTGGCTTTTTGTGGATGTGCGTTTTTGATCAGCCGTCATAAATTTCAAGAGTTATGTATTATATGGCAGGATAAAATTTAATTCGAAACTTTCCCGCCTACGACAGCACTTAATGGTTAAGATTTTCTGACCGAGTTGGCTTCTTTGAAGATTTAGTATTTTACTATTTTTCACACTCCCTTTCAGTAGTACTTGAGACAAGCTAATGTTTTTCTGTTAGCGCTCACTTCCTGGGCAAATTTCTGATTTAGTTCTCAAAACAGTGCGCATCTGTTTCATAAAAGTTGCAAAAGCATTGTTTTGAAGGTCATTCAACCGCCGAAGGGCAACAAATTTTGTTATGAAAAAATGTAAAAATCTTCATTGTAGGAAAAAGGACAAAATTTTGTCCGCAAAATACGGACCATCTGGCAGCTCTGTCAATGACACAACAAAAGTGCACGAAATAAGAGACTTTTTTCATCGGTCCACAGACTAAAATACTGTCTGAGAATCCCCAGAAAATATTGTTTTAATTCATCTGAATTTGTTTGATTAAATTTTCTTTCAAACAGAGAAGCTCATGAATATATAGAATACAACAGATGTCGGTCGTAGTCGCTAGTGTTGCAGATAAATCTTTTATCATCTTTCCCTCTCGATTTAATTCATCATTTATCTTACAAGACTTAATCTTTCGTGAAATTTCATCTGACATCAATAGCGTATGCTCGATATATCCCGTTATACGTCGGTTTTTGATCAATTGTCAATAATAAAAAAACGAATTAATTCAATTGGTTTTTTCTCTACGCTTCGTTTGTTTGTTTTAAACTTTTATTTAGTCAAGTAGTTTGCGTTGCATTTCGTGATTTTGTAACGGCTTGGTTACTACATGTAGCTTTGCTGCTACAGTGTCGAGTAATTTCGTTACGTATTTTGCATTTTGTCTCTTCTATAATTGTCGAATGAGGTTGTTCAGAGCTCTGAGGACGTATCACAAAAAACTTAAAACTTAAGCTTAAGTCTAGACTTTGACTTGATTTAAGTTTTTACGTGATACGACCCCCCCCTGCAACGTCTCAAATTAAAGAAAAAAATGTGCGGACTTACCCACACTCTAGACATTATCTTGTTTAGAAACTATGGCGAAAATATAAACTGCTATTTCAGATACTGCTTTTTCGGAAGTTTTTTGCAGAGTTCTGGTCTGTCCTCATTCGAGAATTACAGAAGAAACAATATGCAAAAAAGCGTAACGAAATTACACTGCGGCTCCATAGCTCCGTAACCGAGCCGTAATTAATGTTAACTTGAGTTCCACTATTTCCTTTTAATGGATCTTCCAGAAGACAAAGTTTGACTTTGATTTATTCCTCAGTACTTGAGCATTCTGTTGCTGATCAGTTTTGTGGTGATTTGACTGTTTGATATGCTGAGGTGGAATGTTGTGTGTCATCGTTTACTAAGTAAACTATTCAAGACATTTTCTTGTCTTGTTTTATCGAACGACAAATTCTTTTATTTAGTTAGTGACTATGCAACAGTCGAGTCTTTGCTTTTAAGTATTCTGTTTACCTTGCTTTTAGATTTTAGTAGGTTTAAGTAACTTTAACTATGAAACTAGCCAAGAACATTTTAAAAGTGAGTTTTTTGTGTTTATTTTCCAGTGTGTTATAAAACTATCCATATTTTAGTGCAACAGAAATCTCGTTTTGAGTCAACGTTCATTGGCAACTTCCCAAAAAACATTAGCAGCACAAACGGTAAATTAGGATAGTTCTATGATTTTACCTATCATATTAATTTCACTATTTCTTTTAAACATTTCAGATTACAGTCCGTGAAGCTATTACAAATGCCATGGACGAAGAAATTGGACGTGATGAACGTGTATTTTTGATCGGCGAAGAAGTTGCTCAGTATGATGGAGCTTACAAAGTAATTTAACGTTCATTATTGAACTTTGTTTATTACTTCAATTAGTTTATATATTTTCTTCTCATTTAGATGTCAAAAGGCCTGTGGAAAAAGTATGGTGATAAACGTGTTGTTGATACACCAATTACTGAAATGGGATTTGCTGGCATAGCTGTTGGAGCTGCAATGGTACATGTTTTTCTTCAAATGCAAATATGTATGAAATAACAGTTTTCGTTTTTTATAGGCTGGCTTACGTCCTATCTGTGAGTTTATGACTTTCAATTTTGCCATGCAAGCAATCGATCAGATTATCAATTCAGCAGCAAAAACCTACTACATGTCTTCAGGAAGGGTATGATTTGAGTAGTGTCAAAATAATTTTAAATTTAGTACTTTGTTTGCTTATCTAGGTTAAAGTTCCGATTGTGTTTCGCGGACCAAATGGCGCTGCGATGGGTGTGGGGGCTCAGCATTCTCAGGAATATGCGTCATGGTATAGTCAGTGTCCTGGACTCAAAGTTGTTTCACCATACTCAGCGGAAGATTGTCGAGGACTATTAAAAGCAGCTATCAGAGACGATGATCCAGGTTAGTAATAGCTATTGCACTGGACGAATTTTGAGCATCTGCTTTTTGTTTATTTAGTTGTATTCTTAGAAAACGAACTTGTTTATGGCTCACAATTTCCTATATCAGAAGAAGCACTATCTCCTGACTTCGTGTTACCAATTGGAAAAGGAAAAATTGAGCGAGAAGGTGACATAAATGAGAGTTGCCGCTCTCAGAAGCTGGGGATATAATATGTTAATCTTGTTTTGTAGGAAAGAATGTCACACTTGTTTCACATTCAAAAGGTGTTCATCTGTGTCTGGAAACTGCCAAAGAATTAGAACAAAGTGGCATCGATTGCGAAGTACTAATTTTATTTCGCAAATTGTGGTTAATTTAGAGTTTTTCGTTTAGGTAATTAATCTTCGTTCACTTCGTCCGCTCGATGAAGACTTGATTAAAAATTCAGTTAAAAAAACACATCATCTTGTGACAGTTGAACTGGGATGGCCACAATGCAGTATTGGAGCTGAAATTATTTCAAGGATATGTGAAAGTAATGCTGATTCCTCATAAAAAGTCTCCATGTGTAAGACAAACTGCTCATCTATTTAGGTGATGCATTTGATTATCTTGACTCGGCACCATTACGTGTGACTGGAGCAGACGTACCATTACCATATGCAAAAACTCTTGAACAAAACTCGTTGCCACAAGTGGCAAATGTGATTAAGTCAATCAAAAAAGTGTTAAATAAGTAAAAGTCAAATATTATCATCTTTCTTCTTTAACAACAATAAGAAGAAAAAAAACGTTTTGTCTGTTGTTCGGTGAGAAGAAAACAAGTAAATATTCCATTCATTTTTCCACTAGTTTATTTTGCTCATTTTTTGTGTCCGGTTGAAATAGATTGTAGACGTTTTTAACTTTCGTTTTTTTAGGATAAAATTAGGAGAACTTCAATTGTAAACTATTATTGTTGTCTTTTTGTCTAGACGACCTCCCATGCAAGTGTTTGACAGTGATTAAAAGCTAATAGATTAAACTTGTGATAAGCTTATTTTTTTTTTTTATTCTGTTTTGAACAAAAACAAAAAAGTACTTTTGGATCTATGGAATAATAAATCGTAATTACGCTGGTGTATGTCGATACGATATATAGCCATACAGAGATGGACTTAATGTTCGAGTTGTTAAGGATATACATATATGAGGATAAGTGTATGACCATCAAGAACATCAAATTCGTATTATCGAAAACATGTAACTGCAACACCTGTTCAAGCACTTGGTAAAGAAAGGTGTTGTGACCAGTGTGGAAAACTTCGATTATAAGAACAAGCTTCAAAGTGATAGATCATCTATGGAAAACTGTCCACTAATCTTCTTACTCCTAAACGTCAGGAAGGGTATTGGAGGAAATAGTCTTTCGCAGACTAGCATCTTGTCTTACTTTAAACAACTTTTTTTCGTCGTCAAAATATGAATTTTGGGGAACCATTGACCGTAGACGTCTTGATATATGCCATCTATGGTCATGCCATTAGAGACAAAAGTTACAATGTAAAGATCTCGGTCGGATTCCATGAAAGCATTCAGCCGATTTAGTCATTTCTTACTTCTAACAACGTTACACACCTACATAAATCGTACATTTGATACTACTGGAATTATCGTACTTAGCGATATCTTGCAAGACTTTGTCAAATTTTATGGTATCTTGAGAAAAAAATAACAGCTGCTGAGATATTGTAAGATCTA